CCCCGTGTCCCACCCCCCAGGAGAAGTGCGGTAGAGATGGAGTTGACCGTCTGTAAGATCAACGTCATAGCCCTCCGTGTCTCCCTCTGTCTCCCCCCCCCCGTGTCCCTCCCTCGTGTCCCACCCCCGTGTCCCACCCCCCGTGTCCCACCCCCCGTGTCCCACCCCCCCCCCCGTGTCCCACCCCCCCCCCCCTAGGAGGAGGTGCGGTAGAGATGGAGTTGGCCGTCTGTAAGATCGACCTCATGGCACTCCGTGTCTCCCTCTGTCTCTCCCCCCCCCCGTGTCCCTCCCTCGTGTCCCACCCCCCGTGTCTCACCCCCCGTGTCCCACCCCCCGTGTCCCACCCCCCGTGCCCCACCCCCCGTGCCCCACCCCTCCCCAGGAGGAGTGCGGTCGAGATGGAGTTGGCCGTCTGTAAGATCGATGTCATGGCACTCAACTCTCAGCTGCTGGACGCCATTCAGCAGAAGGTTGATCTCAGTCAGGAGCTCGAAGCCTGGCAGGTGATGATGATGGTGGTGGTGATGATGGTGGTGATGGTGATGGTGGTGGTGATGGTGGTGGTGATGGTGGTGATGGTGATGGTGGTGATGGTGGTGGTGGTGGTGATGGTGGTGGTGGTGGTGGTGGTGATGGTGATGGTGGTGGTGGTGATGGTGGTGGTGGTGGTGGTGGTGGTGATGGTGGTGATGGTGGTGGTGATGATGGTGATGATGGTGATGGTGGTGATGGTGGTGGTGATGATGGTGGTGGTGGTGGTGATGGTGGTGGTGGTGGTGGTGGTGATGGTGGTGGTGGTGGTGGTGATGATGGTGATGGTGGTGATGGTGGTGGTGATGATGGTGATGATGGTGGTGGTGATGATGGTGGTGATGGTGGTGGTGGTGATGGTGGTGGTGATGGTGGTGATGGTGGTGGTGGTGATGGTGGTGATGGTGGTGGTGGTGGTGGTGGTGATGGTGGTGGTGATGGTGGTGGTGGTGGTGGTGATGATGGTGATGGTGGTGATGGTGGTGGTGATGATGGTGGTGGTGGTGATGGTGGTGGTGGTGGTGATGGTGATGGTGGTGATGGTGGTGATGATGGTGGTGGTGGTGATGGTGGTGATGATGGTGGTGGTGGTGGTGGTGATGGTGGTGATGGTGGTGGTGATGGTGTTGGTGATGGTGGTGATGGTGGTGATGGTGGTGGTGGTGATGGTGGTGGTGGTGGTGATGATGATGGTGGTGGTGGTGATGGTGGTGGTGATGGTGGTGATGGTGGTGATGGTGGTGATGGTGATGATGGTGGTGGTGATGGTGATGGTGTTGATGATGATGGTGGTTGTGGTGATTGTCATGGACAGTGCTGTGGGGGGGAGGGCCAATTCCGATTGGCCTTTCACCTCATGGCGTTTGTGACCACCACAGCGGCCAAACGGGGGCTCTGGATGGGTGCGAGGGGCTGGTAACCCCTCCACCTTCAATTAATTACCACTAAACCATGAATAAAAATTTTAATTAATAAGCTTGTGCCGGAGGCCCCGGGGGAACCATTGGACGGGTTCGGTAGGATTGGAAGGATGCCCTGGTGGTCCCCCTCTTTAAGAAGGGGGACCGCACAGACTGCAACAACTCCAGTGGCATCTCACTCCTCAGTGTGCCGGGAAAGGTCCTGGCAAGGATTATTCAACATCGCCTTGCTAGGCATGATGCCATCAGTAGGCCTGGGCTCTGGTCTGTTCTTCGTGCTTTCGGAGTCCCTGACCCTCTGCACACGATCATTAAGGACCTTCATGATGGTGAGCGGGCCCGGGTAAAACTACGTGGCTGGGAATAGGTGCCATTCCCTGTTCACTTTGGGGTGCGACAGGGTTGTCCTCTGGCTCCAACATTATTTAACATATTTTTCGACCACGTAGTTCATGAAGCCTTTGATTGCTGTGCCAGAGGAATTTCCATCTGGTACAGATACAATGGTAGGCTGATCGATGCCCGGGTGCGGTCAAGCGATGGCTACCTATTGGTTAACCACGTTATGTATGCCGATGATCTGGTTATTGCCGCTCACTCAGAGGAGGAGTTGGAGGCGCTGCTGCTGCTGAAACTGGAGCTTGCCACTAAGAGGTGGGGCCTTACCATCAGCCCCATCAAAACTAAGCACCTGCCTGGATATTTTGTACCATTGGACACTCCACTCCCACAACTCACAATCGGTGATGGGGCAGTAGTGGAGAGAGTGGAGAGTTTCCCATACCTAGGCAGTGTGCTCATGACCGGCTCCCGTTTGACAGCAGAGGTCTCACTCAGAATCAGTCGAGCGGCATTATCTTTTCATCGGTTGCGTAACGCTGTGTGGAAGCTGCCTGGTCTGTCGCTCCACACGAAGCTTCAAGTCTTCTCGGCCACGGTCATTTCCTCCCTTCTCTACGCTTGCAAAACTTGGACCCCCCTAATGGAGCATCTTCGCCGATGGGAAACATTTAGGCTGGCCTGCCTACGATCCATCCTGGGTTTAGCCAGGCTGGATTGTGTGAGGAGCTCACAAATCTTTAAAAGATCTGGGCAAAGTCCCATCGGTGAGCTCCTCCGGCAGGCAAGGCTACGTTGGCTGGGTCATGTAGCCCACATGCCCAGCCACCGCATGCCTAGACAGCTTTTGTTCGGCCGGATCGAGGGGGCTAAACGGGCGCGGCACGGGCTAGAGAAGAGATGGAGTGATGTGGTACAGGAGGACGTGGAGCTGAGTGGACTTGCCGATGACCGGTACCAGCGGTGTCAAGATCGGCCTCTATGGAGGAGGCTCGTGAAGGACGCTACTGGGCAGTTGAAGGCAGTCGCCCTCCAACAACAACGGAGGGTGGAGGAGCGACGCTCACAACAACGAGCGGAGCGCCGGGTGGCTAAAGCACAGCAAGTTGGCACAGTAGGGGGCACAGGTGGTGCATCAGCCAGTCATCTCAGTCAGTCGACCCGTGGCACCTGGGTCTGCCCCGTGACCTCCTGCCAGCGTGCGTTCGACACTTCACGTGGCCTCAAGGTGCACATAGCCTGGCACAAGCGTCGTGGTGATGTCACCGCCACTTAGTGGCGAATGGTGGTTGTTGTTGTTGATTGTCATGGTGGTGGTGATGATTACATTGTTGATGATGATGGTGATGCTAATGATGTAACGCTGATTAATATGATGGTGATAATGCAGTCTGAATTAGATTTGGGAGATTCGTAATGGCCGTGTCAGAGACACTGAGAGCCTGGGTTCAACACCGGGTCTGGGTGTCTCTCTCAGGGGGTTCACGATGGCCGCGTCAGAGACACTGAGAGCCTGGGTTCAACACTGGGTCTGGGTGTCTCTCTCAGGGGGTTCATAATGGCCGTGTCAGAGACACTGAGAGCCTGGGTTCAACACCGGGTCTGGGTGTCTCTGTCTCTCTCAGGGGGTTCACGATGGCCCTGTCAGAGACACTGAGAGCCTGGGTTCAACACCGGGTCTGGGTGTCTCTGTCTCTCTCAGGGGGTTCACGATGGCCGTGTCAGAGACACTGAGAGCCTGGGTTCAACACTGGGTCTGGGTGTCTCTCTCAGGGGGTTCACGATGGCCGTGTCAGAGACACTGAGAGCCTGGGTTCAACACTGGGTCTGGGTGTCTCTCTCAGGGGGTTCATAATGGCCGTGTCAGAGACACTGAGAGCCTGGGTTCAACACTGGGTCTGGGTGTCTCTCTCAAGGGGTTCACGATGGCCGTGTCAGAGACACTGAGAGCCTGGGTTCAACACTGGGTCTGGGTGTCTCTCTCTCTCTCAGGGGGTTCACGATGGCCGTGTCAGAGACACTGAGAACCTGGGTTCAACACTGGGTCTGGGTGTCTCTCTCAGGGGGTTCACGATGGCCGTGTCAGAGACACTGAGAGCCTGGGTTCAACACTGGGTCTGGGTGTCTCTCTCAGGGGGTTCATAATGGCCGTGTCAGAGACACTGAGAGCCTGGGTTCAACACTGGGTCTGGGTGTCTCTCTCTCTCTCAGGGGGTTCACGATGGCCGTGTCAGAGACACTGAGAGTCTGGGTTCAACACTGGGTCTGGGTGTCTCTCTCTCTCTCAGGGGGTTCACGATGGCCGTGTCAGAGACACTGAGAGTCTGGGTTCAACACTGGGTCTGGGTGTCTCTCTCTCTCAGGGGGTTCATGATGGCCGTGTCAGAGACACTGAGAGTCTGGGTTCAACACTGGGTCTGGGTGTCTCTCTCTCAGGGGGTTCATGATGGCTGTGTTGCATTTGGAGACTTCAACTCTTGCTGCTATAAAGGTTCACATTTTCCTGTCTTTCTCCCTGTCTCTCCCTGCATCTTCCTGTCTCACTCCCTGCATCTCTCCCTGCATCTCTCCCTGCATCTCCAAGTGTCTCCCATGGTTTCATGTTCACACCACGGCGATGTTGTTATTGGTCAACAATCCGCTGTGTTAGACACACACACACTCACATCTACACACACACGTATACACACACGTACACACACACACACTCACGTGTACACACACACACATGTTTACACACACACGTACAGGCACACTCACAAAAACCTCACACACATGTGTACACACACACACACCAATATACACACACACTCACACACACACCTATATACATACACACACACACCAATATACATACACACACACCAATATACATACACACACCAATATACACACACTTACACACACCAATATATAATGCGCACACTTACACACACACACACCAATATGCATACACACGCACATACACACACACTTACACACACACTTACACACGTGTACACACACTTACACTTACACACACGGGTACACACTTACACACACACGTGTACACACACACACACTTACACACACACACACGTGTAAACACACACACTTACACTTACACACGCGCTTACACACACGTGTACACACACTTACACACACGTGTACACACACACACGTGTACACACACACACGCACGTGTACACACACACTTACACACACACA